CATAAAGAATTTATATAGAGTAAAATCAACTTGCTTGTGGTCTGCAAACTTAAAATGTGCATTATTCAAACACAGGTCTATGAAGACTCTTTTCAGAGTAAGACAGAAACACCATTCTATTCACTTTTAAAATGTTAAAGAGGATGACTGATATTTTCCAAGCTAAAGTAGATATATTTTAAAATATTTTTAGAAGTCATTCATTCCTGTTTAAAATAGCTCTTAAAAAGGCACCATGGTTTAGGCCCAGCTGGCAACTAAGAATCATGCCACTACTTGCTTACTTCTTTCCCCCCACCCAGTGGGATGGGGAGGAGAATTTGAAGGAAAAGGTACAACTCATAGGTTGAGATAAGGACAGTTTAACAGGACAACACAAAAAGAGAAGAAATAATACTACTAATAGTACTAACAGAAGAACGGAAGAACGTATCTAGCAACTGGTGCACAATGAGATTGCTCACCACCTGGAATCCGATGCCCAGCACATTCCCAAGCTGTGATCCCTCCTGCTCCCAGTCAGCTCCCCCGGTTTATATACTGAGTACGATGTATTGCCTTGGCTAGTTCAGGTCTGACCAAACTGACTTGAACTGACCGCAACAGCTAACTGGGCTGTGTCCTCTCCTGGCTTCATGTGAAAATTAACTCTATCCCAGCCAAACCCAGGCCATGAGGGTTTGTCAAGAAGATTATAGCCAAACTAAGCATATTTCAAGGTTGCCTCTACAGAAAGCAAAGACACTTCTCTTCCATTTGAACTTTCAGGTAGTTTTGAAACATGCTGCTACTGAAGACTATCTATCTTCTTCAGATAAAAGTGTGAGTAGCAATACACTTTTGAAACAAACATCCTGAAATTAGAAAGTCCAGTTCTTTGCAGGCAACTGTGATGTGGAAGTATTTTCAAAACACTTAGGAAACTTGATCTTAAAGTTCAGAGTCTTCATATAGGACGTCTTCTAAGAGCTTGTGTTTTGATATAGTACAGACATCATTCGCACTCCCACCCTCCACTGTTTCTCAACGCATAATTATTTTAAATGCTTTCATTCTTTCATTCTTATAGAAGATTAAGCTTATAGGCTGGTGTGATCATTTCAAAGATTAAATTAAGTGCGTAATTTTTTGTTCCAACTTTATACAGTATTGGGAAAAACTCAGATTGCTGGTATGTAAGGTTCTGGTTCTATAGGAATAATGTGCAGCTTCATTTAAGAAAACACTTTAATGTATATACTTAAATCCTTGCAGCCTGTGTGATCAATATTTGGAAGAAATAAGGAAAACAAAATGGATCAACATCCATTTTCCCCAGCCTTTTACACCTTTTACATTCTGTCAGTTTCAGATGTCTTCAAGAAGTTCCCAGTGCTACTGCAAACAGGCCAGTGAAAGCCTGGAGTTGCCAAGTGTAAGAAAACAATTTTATACTTGTGCTTCAGGACGTGGTAGAAATCTTTATATTTGCATGCTGACATCATAGATTGGAAAACGCTTTGCTAATTAAAAAAATTATAAATTAATGGCAACAGAAGCATGATAAACCTTCTGACTCTTATTTACTGTTATTATCTGTGCTATCTTAAGAGTTTCTATCATGAATTAAGTGCTGCACTTCCATATGCAAATACCGCAAGTATCAAGAACCAATAATGTAAATACACAGCAATTACAGAGGACTAACACTCAACTTCATTTAGCGTTCAGGAACATCTTCTCCACTAAAAAATTTTCTGATGATGTCTCTTGTTGCTACCTTACAGTATGTAACATAAAACAAAAGCATCTTTTAAGTATCTATCCTAAACCAGTTTAAACAATTTGCACAATTGTGTGATTGTGCAGCTTTATTTAAAGACTTTTCCATTGTGATGAAAAGCACTGCCTTAAAGATTCTTAAAATATGCACCTATAAGATGCTTTGAGAGATTTAATTTACTGTAAATTATTTCTTATAAAGTACCTTCAATTTCTGTATTTCAAATATGGCAGTACATGTTTACATGCATAAAAATACTAATCCAGAAACAACAGAAGGGTAAGAAAATACATAAGTATTGAACAACACACGCCCAACATCTCCTGAGACTTTGCACCTGGAGAAGAGGAAGAGAAGAATCGAAACACCTTCCATCTCCTGGTAATGCTCATACGCAAGGTGAGCTAAAATGGTGTCTCCACCTCACAAGGTTTAGTGCATACAGAAACTGTGAACATCTGTGTGAAATCTGAACATCTGTGTGAAATCAACATCCTTATGCAGGCCTGACTTTTAGTCTTGGCTTTCTTCTGTTGACTTCGGGAAACCTTGAGCGAGTTGAAATTCTTGTTGTGGCAAGTCCTGGGACCCTACTCCAGTCCCGGCTCCGCTCCCAGCAGTACAAGTACCTGTTGCACTCCTCCCTAACTGTGAACATCTGTGTGAAATCTGAACATCTGTGTGAAATCAACATCCTTATGCAGGCCTGACTTTTAGTCTTGGCTTTCTTCTGTTGACTTCGGGAAACCTTGAGCGAGTTGAAATTCTTGTTGTGGCAAGTCCTGGGACCCTACTCCAGTCCCGGCTCCGCTCCCAGCAGTACAAGTACCTGTTGCACTCCTCCCTCCTCTCAGCTGGCTGGGGCGGCAGGAGGGCCGCTGCCAGGGCCT